TGCGTAATAACGGCGTAGCTGTGATTCTCCTTGTGATACAGTTTTTTAATTTTCTTTCGAACCAGATGAAAAAAATGTCATGTCCTTACATGTGCCGAATTCGTCTTGAAATCCTCTAACAGACAGGCGTAAAAAAATTATATGTTCGGTTGCAAAAAATTCAAGGTAACCTTGAAAAAACATTAAAAAAAGAGTTGACCAGTAATTTTTCACTATCACGTTAAAGCTCTCTTGAAACCATGCAAAAGCTGATAAAAAGATTTTCGATCGGACTGCTAATAACAAAGTAATCTCTACTGATCGCGATTCGTGATTCACCCTGTATATGGTAATTCGAGATCATATTAATTATGAGTCTATTAATAAATTAAACTATTTTCATGTTTCAACGTGAACCAAAATTGTATCTACTGCTCTTTTCCCAGTTTACTCGCTTAGACTTTCTCTTTGGCAAAGATGCTCATTTGAAAACGCCGTGTTTCACTGTGTATAGTAATTTCGCTTTTACATACTGTCTTAGGACATACAAGTCAAAACTTAACAAACAGCCCCTTCATATAACGCAATGAGTACCACTTTCTTTTTACTATTTAAATGTAAAACATATCTATGACTGAATTCAAGGGTCAATTGACTATTTGCCTAACAACCACATCGTGAACTCTTACTGTTTGATATAATAATAGAATGTCTGCTTGACTCACTGACATTCATAATCAGCCACGTTGCACCAGAGTGATCTTAGAAATCATAGTAAAGTATAAATAATTTCAATTGCACAATCAAATGTGGCAGATGTAATGACAGAGACAATTATGAATATCCTGTATTATTATTTTTAATCTGAAACATCCTTGTATACAGATATTTTGTTTCTATCAAAACAATTCTTAAGAAGAATTAAGAAGTGAATATCAAAATTTTGTATTACAGATCAGGAACTAAAACGATACCCAATATAATTAGAGCATACAAATTTTCCAGAATTAGTATTTTTATTATTGAACATATGTATATATATATTATCATGTCTGACAATGTAGACACACGCTATAGTAGGAGTCCGGTACTAAAAGAATTTTGATTCTTCAATTCAAATTTATCTTCCTCTATATCTATACTGAAAAGAGGATGTGTATTTGATCTTTAACAATTGAATATTTCTGACTATCAGCTTTTCGAGAAAGTGAGAAATCTCAGAGGATTACCTGAAATACACAAAAAGATTGTTGCCGTAACTGGTGATGTATCATTACCAGGATTGGGACTCTCGTCAGATGACCGAAAGATGCTTTGTAATACGATTAATATCGTGTATCATGCTGCAGCAACAGTAAGGTTAGTACAGTAGTTAACTTGAACAAACTATAGCCTCAATTGTTGATCGAATAATAGATACAGTTTCTTTTCGAAAATTACGTTGAGGCTGTGTTGAATAATGTCAAAATAAAATAGAGAAATGATATTTCTCTATTTTACGGAATACGTAAATCGTTCAGGACGAAACTATGACTTTCACAGAACATCCATCTGTATCTATGCTAACTAACTGTTCAAGAGGACGGTTATATGCTATCGGCTCTTTCTCTTTGTTAGTGAAGTAAAAACTCATGATTGCGCGATCTCGTTTCATTAACACCATGCTTTCTCTTTTACTATCCTTTAGGTAACACACCTTTTCGTGATTTACGCATGATTTATGTAACTGATTGTATTTAAACTTCAACGCAAAGACTACAATGTCAATACTTATAGTATGTGCCTATGCTGGTTAAACTTATAATAGTTTTTATTGATGACAGTTTATATTTTTCATAAGGTTCTAGAGAATAACTAATTGTAAGTAAAATTTGGGTCAGATTTGTCAAAGGATTAGTGGGTCAATAGGACATGTAGAGAGAGGATCTTTTTTTTATATATAGATTATTAAAGAGGGTGCCTACGGTTATGTATGTAGTGTAAAAGAGGAATTTACTGTATACTAATGTTAAAATATTTTGCCAATATTCATTGTTATGTAGAAAAGATGGAAATTACAAAAATCAACCACGTGTATTTTGATTTGTACGATTTAAGTAATACGTACATCGTTGCTGATTTTCTTATGGAACTAATTGAATGCCACGTTCGATTCATACATGATTTCGATATATCTAACAGATATTATATTAGTGTATGCAGTTTAAGGTATCGCGGGTACCGTTTTTTCCCGACTTGTCCAACCTTTTTGTTCAATGCTCAACCCCTTGGTGAAATAACTATGATGATACATAGCTTATGACATTTCAGAGATTATAAGGAAGCCAACAGTGAAAGTCCCGTAAAAATCGGTTCATTGGTTTTTAAGATCGTCGAACATAATCATAAAAACTTACAAACTGTCCCTGTTTATAATATTAGTATAGACTAGTTCATTATGATTTTTCATGATTTCCAGATTTGATGAGCTACTTAAAAGAGCTGTCATACTGAATACTCGTGGTACCAAGCAAATGTTGGATCTTGCAAAAGAAATGAAGCATCTTATTTTGTTCGCTCATATCAGTACCGCGTATTGTCATCTTGAGGAGAAGGCATGTGCTTTTAAACGGTAAAAGAAGGAACTAGTGCTTTACGTCTACTTAAGAATCTTTGTAATTTTAGGTTTTGAGTGAAAAACCATATCCACCACCGTCGGACCCCCATAAACTAATCAAGTGTGTAGAATGGATGGAGGACGAAGTAGTTGAAGCTATGACAGATAAAATATTGGGTGATTTGCCAAACACCTATGCCTTCACTAAAGCATTATCTGAAAGTCTTGTCGAAGAGGCGATGCCTCATATCCCAGCTATTATCTTACGGTTTGAATAGTTGGATATACCTATACTTTATTCATGACATTTGACAAAATTCTGAATACACAAGGATACATTTACTTTTGTCTCTAGACCCAGTATAATAATTCCAATATGGAAGGAGCCATTGCCTGGTTGGACTGATAATATTAATGGACCAACTGGGCTATTAATTGGTGCTGGTAAAGGTGTTATCAGGACTATGTACTGTAATCAAAATGGTTATGCAGATTATCTACCTGTAGACATTGCAGTGAATGCTATCCTAGCTTGTTCTTGGAACTATATTTACCTGAAAGATCATGAGAAACGAGTATATAACCTCACAAGCAGCACTGAATTTAAGGTGACCCTTTGACAAATTTTTAATCTTTACCTTCCTCAATCTTTTAGTTGAAAAATGATTTTGTTATCATTATTTCCAGGTATCATGGGCTGAGATAATTGAGAGGGGACGTAGAGTCACCGAGAAAGTACCTTTGAACGGTGTTGTTTGGTACCCAGGTGGTAGTATGAAGAGGTCCAGACTCTTGCACAATATTTGTGTTTTGTTTTTCCATATGATTCCGGCCTACCTCATTGACTCGCTTATATTTTTAGCAGGGCATAAGCCTATGTAAGTAACAATCACTGATAAAAATGTAATAGATGGTAAAGAATTTGAATCATTCTTTTGATTGCAGTATGTGTCGGGTGCATCGACGCATTCAGAAAGGGTTCGAAGTCTTCGAATACTATGCCAATAATCAATGGGACTTTGATAATTCAAATATTACTCAACTTAGAGAGAAGTTTAATGCCAAAGAGAAGATCTTGTACCAATTGCATGGTGATGATATGGATCTGGACGCTTACTTTGAGGCTTGCATTAGAGCTGCGAGAATTTATGTCTTGAACGAGCCACCGGAGACGCTACCTGCGGCACGTCGTCACATGAAAGTGTACGTAGTTTAAAAAAGTATTTTTTCAAAGGTTTTGTACAGTTTTTGCATGGTAATTATTTGTCTGTTACAGTATGTATTGGGTGGATGTCATTACAAAGATTCTTTTCGTTGTCCTGATTATATATACATTGTTTTCATGGAGCGAGAGTTTTCGAGCTTTGCTTATAGGCGGCTAAAAATTCGTACTCAGTTTACTATCCATTTGTTATTACTAGTTTTATATTTTTCAATACGATTTGTATTGTATTTTGACCAAATAAAACCTTACTACTTTAACCTATGTTATTTAATGATTGTAAGTTTTACAGTGGACCTAGAAAATTAATTTTGTTTTCGATTCATCTCCTTATGATTTAAAAGTTCAAAAAGAACCAATTTTGTGGCTGAACCATATTTATTTTTTGTCGTTGAGAAACTTTACTGCTCTGAAAATTCACAGCTGAAAATGTAGGATGAAAGCTGGATTTTCAATGACAAAAACACATTTCCGCACAGAGAAGTGGATTTTATTTTTAAAAGAGATGTTAGGAGCATTATGCCATTAAACAGACTCCTGTACGGGGGGTTCGTAGCCCTCAGGCCTGTCAACCTTTGAACCACCCTCTTCAGCGTCACCACTCTTTCCGCCACCTCCATCGCCGTGGAGCTCGAGCAACTTGCTCAACTCGAAACGTGGCTTCTTCAATACCTTTACCTAATAAGTTTAATTCATAGTCATTAAAAGACTTGTTCAAAGAAAATATTAATGGTTTTATTTCATTAATCCCAACAATTGTATTATGAATAATAATGAATGCAAAAAGTGTCGATATTAAAAGGTTTGCTAATACATACCTTGCGAATGTAGACATCATGGAGGGGGTAAATGCCCTGGCAGGCCTTTTCAATATCCTTGGCAATGGCATCAGGCAGGAGTTTGCTAACCACTCCCTTCAGATCGCTCTTTGCAACATCACCAGTGATGATATCTACCATCTTCTTCCGGATATTACGGACCTAATTATATAAATAATTTTTCAATGTATCAAATGATTATTTCTAACCACATTTTTACTTTTAAGTATCATATAATATCACTGAATATAAAACATGTTTGTCTTTTTTTAAGAATATTATACGACTGTAATGAATTTAAGTTATGGAGGTTAAGTAGAAAATTGTTGCAGCATTAAATTTCACTATTCCCTTTGAAAAAGGAATGGCGTGGTAAGTATCTGCTTTTTGTCTACGCAACTTTATAAAAAATCCATAAAGTTTACTAACAAAACTCAAATGGTATTAGGAGTTGCGGTACTTCAAAGTACTTTAGAAAAATTTTTGAAGTATTTTACCTGAGCATGTTGAGCGTAACAAGTTTTCCTAGTGCTAAGTTGATCTTTGTTGGTGAAACCGATGCAGAAAACCCTCAACAGGTAACCATCTGTCGTTTTCACGTCAACGTTAGCTTCAATCAAGGTCTGCCATTTCTTGACCATAGAACGCAGCTTATCGGTGGTTAGATCCATCCCGTGGAAGTTGGTCAGGACATTGCGGCTCTGAACATCTTCTGCGATCAGTCTGAACTTACGGAAGGACCTCTCAGCGTCATTGTCACTTTGAAGGTCTGCCAAAGAGACCTCAAATACACGATACTTCAGACCCTCAGAGGCAATTTCTGTTAAATAACAAAATTGTATTATTAAAGACACTTAAAGAAAAAAATATATAAAAAAGATTTAATTTACAATGTTTATGTGCTTGAAGTAGTGAATTAAAATTTTATTAATATGCTATATAATATAATAACTTTTGTTGCAAATTAAATCCATCATTATCAATGTGAATAATGACATGTTATAGTTTGCATTATTCTGCGCAACACTAAACGCCACACAAGTAAAAATAATGACTAGTGTGGAGCTGGGGTTGCACCATCGATTATTATTAAAGTTAATAATTAGACTATAGTATGCTACTTCATCCTGATCTGGGACAAGTGCCAATAGGAATGTATTATTAATGAATGATGATAATATTTCTAATATTAAAGTTATTAATTACTTACTAGTTCCTTGGGTCCTATTAACCAAGGTCTTGCCAACCTGACGAGTGGTAAACATGGATGGTGCCTTGACATCGTACCAATCCTTGCGGGTGAAGGGATCAACGCTATTAACACATACATATCATTAAGAAGTTAGTACATAATTCTTCTAATACTTAAATTATAAGCTTATGTAGATATTCCAATGAAGAACTTTCATTATCTTTATAACATCATTATAACAACGGTAAAGAACAGTTGAAGAAATGGAGTTTATCACACAGGTGTGTTAGAACATTTGTAATATTACTTAACTGATCCTTAATCACGTTTTCGAGGTTACAATAATTTAATATCTTCAACGAAACACATTTTGGCTGTACATTAGTACTCTAATGCAATCCGTTGCATTTTTAAAAAGTGCTTTTGCTTGGAATTCATCTTGAGAGAATAACTGAGTACTAAAAACAGTAACCCAATCGTTTCGTAAACAAAGCAACGTCATTCTGAATCAATTCGATCATCTATGGTGCTACATTTAGACAAACTTCTAGTAAGCATAATATTTTATTTGTAGCTGAAACACATTTCAGAAAATATGAAAAATCCGACAATATTCTAGAAAGAAAACGCATGGTGCCTATGTCACAGAGTCGAAAGAATCCATCTTTATCATCTACATCAGAGAACCTATTTTCGCAAAATTATTATTGAAAAAATCATAGAAATGCGAGGAATGTGATAAATATATTATTATTTACTTACATCTTCTTTTTAACTCCCTTTTTGCCTCCTTTCGAAAGCCCCTTATTTTTCCCCACCGCCATGATTAAAGATACAAACGGAAAGAAGTACGCTTACATACAGCGGAAGTCTCTGAGCTGACTACACAATCGATCTGCCCAAATCGTTTGCTCATTGGTTAACGTGAGTGTGTCGACAATAAAGTCGATTGGTCTTAATTTAAAAATATATATTTAAATTACAATTGTTAAAATAACAAGTTTGATGAAACTATCCTAAGTCCTAATATTATATGTAGCAATTATTTGTACTTCGAACTTTGATTTACAATCATGCTGAAATCAATTTCTTTACGTTCATCTATTTTGGCTAGAAGCCAATATATGATGCTATAAGAAAAAATTGAACAGTAAATATTTCTGTGAATTATTATTGTACAATATAATCTATGTATACTATAATTAATAATTTTGTATGTTTTATATAATATAAAAAACTGTTACAAATCATGAATGTTTTACTAAAATATCAGAAAGTCAAAACTATAAAATGTATTTATTGTGATACTATTCAGTAGTATAATATTAAGGCTATTATGGCTCTGTTTGACAAAAATTAGATAAAATTAATATTATGTTTTTAATTATTTGTACGAATATGTGGTTTTTTAAAAATCCAACTTTCTTAAGTCCATTCGTGCAAGGACCAGCATAAGGATCTTATGCTTACTTATCGAATGTCGATAGCGAGCTAGTCTTCGGCTAATTTCAGTTTGCTTGGAAATTTGCATGCAATCGGTGCGATCTTCCGGTTTTATTTTCTATTGTACGCAAATGCACGGGATCCCGTTCGCCTTCGTTATTAGAGATAGTTTACTCGGAAGACAGAAAGTTTTTGTGGAATTAGATAGTATGCGTTTAAAATTCACTTATTCGTGGTGAAGAAGTTGGCCTATATGCTAACCCATTGTTATAACCATGAATCTACAAACACTTTTTCAAGATTTCAATCCAAGGTAACTATTGTAAATCGCAATAATGAAAATTATCCAGTTTACTTCTTCTATTGATCAAATATGTAGCATTACTCATCCTAGTTATAATTTTAAACATTGACTTGAAAGAATTACAGTTGAATTACCTTCATGATTCCTGTATTTGGGAATAGTTGTAGATTGATACAGAAATATTTCTTTTTTGGAACATAAAGGCAAACTACAAATATATAATTTCATATTTAAAAAATTTATATTTATATTTCCAGCTCATTTTTCTATCAGGCAACATGTTTGATTTAGTCAAGTACATTGTAATATTTATGCTCACATGAAACTTCAACTTCTACAATATTCTCTTTTTTAAAGTGTAGTTTTTATTGGTGGATTGAAATATTCAGTTATATGAATTCCTAAATCAATATTTTAATTTTCAGCAAGTTCTTGGTACATTTATGTCTTATGGTATTTACATTGTTATTTGCCCTACGACTTGACGGGTTCATATTGTGGAGTTATTGGTCAGTATTTAGTCCAATATGGTTTTGGAAAAGTATGGTGATTTTGGGTGCAACTATTGGAAGTTTTGTATGGTGGAGACACCCTCATGCTCGATTAGAAGGAGATGCCTATGTACATTATAAAGCAATGCTAATCACACTAGCATTGCATCTTATATTGTTAATGTTTGAATTGCTGGTATGCCATAAATTGGAGACTAAGAGACATCTTTGGATACTTGTATTTATACCACTTATATTTATCTCCATTGTATCCATAGCAGTGAGTAATTCATTTATTAGATTATTAATTGCTGTTGCTGTTAGTATAATTACTTTTTTTTTCTGTTCAATTTTTTTACAGGTATGCATTTGGGCAGTGAAACATGACCGTTCATTTGAACTAGAATTGTTTTGTGCTGTGAATGTATTGCAGTTTATATTCTTAGCATTAAGACTAGATGGTTTTATTACATGGAGTTGGGAAGTGGTGTTTGTACCCTTGTGGGCACTTTTATGTTTATCTTTGGTTGCTGTTTTATACGCAATAGTGTTTGCTGCGGTTCTACTGAGAATGCCACAAGTTAATGCAAGACAAAGGCGGACCTCGTTAAATTCTGCACTTGCATATACATTTCTTGTGGTTCCCATATTAGTGTTTCAAGTAAGTTCCATGAGAAATATCTCACCGTTAAAAGTATATAATTCAATATGTACATATATATTCAGCTATCAAATACTCTTTAATAATATAATTTCTTTTCCAACTAGGTACTATTAGCAAACAAATTGGATGGAGACATTTCCTTATATTACACAACTATAGCCACGCCATTGTTACTGTCACATGTGACACTTATTTTTATGTCCTTTGGTGCAAAAGGTGGAAATAGATGTAAGTGTGAAAAAGATACAAAATATTATCATATACATATGAATAGTAATGTAATTACTGCCTGTAGAATCCCTGAAATTTTAATTAAATATTTTTTTAATAGGGTGGTTTGGGATACGCAAGGACTTTTGTCATTTTCTATTGAGCCTATGTCCGTTGCTTCAGGAATATGGTAATATCTCTTACCAGCCAAGAGACCATCAGGATCAGCCACCATTGGAGCCTATGGTTTCAGAGAAAAACGAAAAGCAAATTAAAAAAATCGATCTGACGAAACCCGTCGTGCCTATAATATCTATAGATATGCCCGATTGATTGTTTGGGCTTACTTATTTCGATGATTCTCTCCGAATGATTTCAATAACATATATTGAAGGACGATTCCCTTTCTCTACGATAGACATTTATCTCGCCACGAATTGCGGATTCTTGCCGATAAACTACAACCCACGGAGAATTGGACGTTTGAATTAAATGAAGAAGAAGAAAATGGAAAATTTTCAATGTAAATATAGGTTATCGGAGAATTCTCCAATTGATTCTACATGTGCTCAGTGATGGTTAAAATCGTTTGAAAATCATGTAAACAGCTGTTTATAATGAAGAGGCATTGAAGAAATGATTCGCATTTCAATTGCATAGTACCTTGCAAAGTTGTTAGAGTAACCTGAGACATTGTTCTCTAACAATGCTAGTTCATAGTACAGAAGAACCTCACATAATATTTGGTGCATTCGTACATCAGATCTTTCATCCCAGACATTGACATACATGTATATATTATTATGTTTCATAATGATGGAATGTTTATTCATATTGTTCAATTGAAATTTGTTGCAAAAAAACATAGGTGGTCATGTGTGTTTAAAAATTGAAATCACTTAACTTCTTCGTTTATAAGAGATTGACTACGCCGTCCACTTTGTTTCATTTATAATTCTATCAACGAAATGAAAAAGGGGGCTCATCAATTTGAATATTTGTCTCAATTATTCATCGGGATTAGCATGGAATAAATTTAAATTTGAGTGATTTGCAAATGGTTATCATTGCAGTTTGGAATGAAAAAGAAGGCCATCATTTTGAATATTTGTCCCAATTATTCATCGGGATTAGCATGGAATAAATTTAAATATGAGTGATTTGCAAATGGTTATCGTTGCAATTTCACAGTTCGTTTTTGGATATGTAAAGCGACGTGTTTTAGAAATTGTACTTTATTCAAAAAGTTATAGTTATCCGATAACTATGTGATTAAGTTGAATTTAAGTTTTAAATCCTTTTAAGCCCTTATCAAACGAAAAGTGCCATAAGACATTCAAATTGAATTGTCCAAGTCAAGATGCTATGACGACGTTATTTTGCTTATATAGTTCAACGAACTGAGTATGAAAGCCTAATTTTAATATTGCCGTATGCAAGTGACTTTACATTCTATGGATTATAATTAAATCGAAAGTTTTAAATGACTAAATATCGACATGTTGTGAACTCTAATTTTATAAGGGCTTAACGTGACTCAAGAACTTTCAATTTACAGTACATATTTAGCATTATATTTCACGTGCCGATTGAACTCTGATTATAAAATATTGACATACGATTAACAACAATAATTAAGTTGACAAATAAGTTAGTAAACAGATAACACGTGTAAAATGGATTAAGTGCGAAATAATCTTCTATTTACTATTGTCCATGACATGAATTGTATGTAAAAATTATTTATCATGGTTAAACCCTGTTATAATTTAATTAATTTCATTTGCCAACAACTACTTATTGATACGTGGAATCCAAAACACGTTTTTTAAGTCGTTATCTACAAAATTAAGTCTTTCCAGTGCCTAGACTTGTCTGATTGAGAAAATTTGTAATATTTTGTAGATGTGCTGCGAAGCAGTAACACGTGTTAACTGTTTAAAAAAAAAGAGGTACTTCCATTAGCCTTATTAAGCAAAGAAATGGATGAACCTGCTGGGACATAAGACTGAGCGCTTCGCATTCGTAGATTATTGTTAACGAGGATTGATGCAAAAAATTCAATTAAAACTAGGGAAAGAGAAACTTGTAAAAGCGTAATTGTTAATGTTGCTAAGAAAATCATAGCGCTAAATGCCCAATCATTTATTACGTTGTATAATAGAAATAATGTACAGACTTCGTTGTATTATAATATTATACATATATTATTATATACTATACATATCTACCTATTATGATGGTTGATTAATAATTAGTAATATTATTTTATTTTATATACATTAAACTTAATAGAGATTATGATCATCTAATAAAATTTATATTTTTTGGTATGACAATCACTTAAGATAATTCAAATTTTAATGGAAGTGTTTTTGAGTTGTCGAGAGATGTAACATATATTTACGTGTTTCAAGATTTTTCCAAAATGGAAGCGTTTCTTTATAAAGATTTGTCGACATTATTTTCTTACGCAAGTTTGATCAAAACGTGGCCAAATAAATAATTCTTATCTTGTGATTAGAAGACTTGCTGTTACATGCTTTGTTCGAACGATGTGTGCGTTATAAAAACAGTCTATATAAAAAAATATATAAATAACATCATTATTGTGTTTGCATGAAAATTAATTAACAAGTATTAACATTGTAACTGTAAAAAATGTATTCCACTTCGAGAAACAATTTGCTTATGATATATAATGTAAAAGAATCTACTAAATATTGAAACGATATCAATATTTTGTTACAAGCATCGCGCATTCAGTTGCCACTATAATATTCATTACCAATGAAACAATTATCACTTAGCTCGTGTTTCAAAGAGTTCAGTACATCAGTACAATAATCGCATGATCAAGTGGATTCAAAGAGATTTAAAAAAAATACAATTATTTCATTATTGTATCACTTTAAAATCCTGTACTTCCATCTTTTCCAAATTGTTTTCAGTATTCATAGTTTCACCATAACGGAACATATTCGGGTGTCCAGGTTCGACCAAGTAATGAAGAAACTTTTGCAATCAGTTCATTAGTGTCACACTTTGAATCATCTATCAAAGATATTTCCCAGATATACAATTCTCGAAGACTGTTTCCTAGAAGTCTAACGAACTCTGCAAGACCCGAACAGCTACGTGATAAAATTAAAAATAGTTTATTCGTGGCTTATTCAGGTCACAAGCAATAATCGAATCATTATATACTCACGTAAGTTTACAGTCACCTAATCCAACGATGCGCAATTTTGAGCAGCATCGTGCCACAGATAATAATCCTTGGTCTATAAAATCGGCACCATGAGCACTAACTATTAATTCCACAAGACGTGGACAAGATTTACCAATTTTCATGAAAACAGAAGCTGGGACATAATTTCCAAAGTAGAGATTTGTCACTGGGAAATTGCATAAAAAAAGAGACTCGTAGTCTTCCTCTTCGGCCAAGTAACATAATCTGTAAATGCATTAATGATAACATTAAAGAGGTACGTGACGATCAAAGTCAATGTAATGAACAGAATTTAAAAATGATAGGTAATAAAAGATAAAAATACGCTTTACGTACAATGTTATTTTGATATTGGGAGAATGCTTGGCTAACGACTGCCAGGCTTTGTCACTGACAAGTGGAAGAGATTTTCCTTCTCCATGTGCTTCTATACATAATATTTCCAAATGGACATGCTCTTTGTCGCTGAGTGCCATAAGTAACTCATTACTCAGTACAGAGTATGAAATGGATAGTTCCCGCAAATAAGAGCAACCATTTGCCAATTTCAAAATACCTGAAAAGACCAAAATTTTGTTAACAAAATACCAACTCATTTGCCATCACTGTTAAGTTACCCTTTGGTGATAAACGTGGACAGCTCATACGCAAATGGTGTAGTGTACTTGAGGTATTGGAAGCCAGGTTCGTCAATGAAGGATCGTTCACAGGAGTGTGATCGATCATAAGCGATCTCAAAGGTGATCTATCGAAAGCTATTGTCAAGGATGAAGTAAAGCGATTGCAATCTATATAAAAAAAGGATGACTTCGACACGTTAATTAATTCCAACATCTGCAAATATATATAGCAAATTGAATAATATTTCGTCATATAAGAATAATTACAAAAAACTGCGTGTAAAATTAAATACTCAATTGTTACATTCAGGGGGCAGTTCATCAGTCTTGACAGAATGATACAGGCGGCTTCAGCAGATTCGACGCAACTATCCGTTTTCAGGAATACGTAGCGCAGGTGGGATCCATATGACGATGTAAAATAAAGTCTATTAAACGTGGACTGATGGAGCTGTTGAGAGAGAAAGGAAGTGAGTTTCGTGCTAAATTGCACCGTCGTAGTCTTACAACTATAGCTGTACATACTACCTTATACTCTATTCATATAAGTATGCAACTATTTGGAACAGTAAAAGGGATAAATTGTGTGCCGTCAGTTCAGGGCTTAATAAGAGCCAGTAGGCTGTTCACGTGAGTGTCCATGACACGATTGCTGATCTGTGCAACGATCACGTGCAGCAAGGGAGAATCGAAGGAAAACAGGATTTCATTTAAAAAGGACTTTCACGGAAATCGTATTGGTATTTCATGGTATTGAAAGAGCGCTCTCATTATTTTCATCTTTCCTTTGACACTTAAAAAAAATTAGGTGCAAACAGATAGTCTAATAAAGTGTATTTGCAGTAATGGCAAAAGAATGTTATGTTTCTTCTTTCATAAATATATTATGCAATTGAAACAGATTCGCTATGATTTGTTAATATGAATATTACTTCAAACTGGCTATACACATGAATAATAATTTTTTCTTTGCTAATTTAATGGTTATATATTACTTGCTGGTCTGACTGATGTTGAATTCAAATGTGCGCCAAAGTGCAGGTCTGTGGGCTGCTAAAAACCAGCACACACGAGATGCCGTTAGAAGTTTCGTATATGTTAAATTCTTAAGAATTCCAAGTAATATGTTCTCTGGGACTTTAGACCATCCATAATTCTGGTTGCTGAAGTTCATCTTTCCTTGGAATTAAAATCCTTTCGGCATAGATCTATGGAAAGAGAATATAATTTGGATCACTATGATCAATCGATATTAATAGAGATTAGGAGCTTCATAAAGTTCGGGAGTCTCTCAATACAAAAATTCAATATTTATACGCGATATTGCATTTACTCTCGTCATTCCACAATTCGACAGATATACTAAATAAAATTAAACTTTCCTTTACATAACATGTTTTCCTTTTGCTAAGCTAGTCCAAGCTATAAAACTGTCCACGTGTTTCGCGCTCACGTGCGTCTCAAGCCTGCGGATATTAATCTAGACGTAGAAATTGCGGATAATGTGCGTGTGTATGCGCGAGAGCGCGTGCGTGAGTCAATAGGGAGGGGGAGAGAGCGAGAGGGGAAGAAGAAATATAATATATAACTTCTGTCAGTCATACGCATTCGTAACAATCCACTAAGACGTAAGAATATGTATTATTATTTTCTACATTGAATTTAATTTTAATTTTGAAAAATCCCGCAAAAAAGAAATGTATATGTATATGCAATAGTCTGTTGGTTTCAGTAGTCGATTTCTTATAAATGGAATGAAATTGATTATTGTGGGTCATGCTGTCATTAATTTATAAATCTGCACGTCCATATGTGATAAGGGTATCATTACGAGTACGTCGTAAAGCTTATCATTATCAATAAACTAAATGATAATGCCTAAGTGACAGACACGGGAAGGAGAGATAATTACTATATATGATCCAGGTGGGATTTTCTTGTAGTAGGTCAGTTGTATGAAATTTGCACATATTTCGTATTACACTGTTTCAACGCGTCACGTGCCATTGCAGTACTACGAATTTGATAATTTAATATTTCGTACACTGGCGCGTCATTATACAGGGTGAACCACGAATCGTGATCAGTAGAGATTACTTTGTTATTAGCAGTCCGATCGAAAATGTTTTTCTCAGCTTTTGCATGGTTTCAAGAGAGCTTTAACGTGATAGTGAAAAATTACTGGTCAACTCTTTTTTTTAATGTTTTTTCGAGGTTACCTTGAATTTTTTGCAACCGAACATATAATTTTTGTACGCCTGTTTGTTAGAGGATTTCAAGACGAATTCGGCACATGTGAGGACATGGCATTTTTTTCATCCGGTTCGAAAGAAAATTAAAAAACTTTGTATCACAAGAAGAATCACAGCTACACCGTTATTACGCAACCAATGTTGTTGACAAGTCAAAATTTACCAATCTTAATTGTAGCGATGTTCAAAATGGTGTCCACGAGCTGCAATGCACTCGCGTGGACGGTGAACAAAAGATTGTTTTACATTCTTTATGGCCTCTTCTCTACACTGATGGCGACTGAAGACGACAGAATGGATGCGTATAACGGCGTAGCTGTGATTCTCCTTGTAATACAAAGTTTTTTAATTTTCTTTCGAACCGGATGAAAAATATGTCATGTCCTTACATGTACCGAATTCGTCTCGAAATCCTCTAACAGACAGGCGTAAAAAAATTATATGTTCAGTTGCAAAAAATTCAAGGTAACCTTGAAAAAACATTAAAAAAAGAGTTGACCAGTAATTTTTCACTATCACGTTAAAGCTCTCTTGAAACCATGTGAAAGCTGATAAAAACATTTTTCATCGCACTGCTAATAACAAAGTAATCTCTACTGATCACGATTCGTGGTTCACCCTGTATACGTACGTAACAAGAGTTGCGATAGTATCGTCATCTGGTTGAATACTTACTGAGGATAATTGGGCTATTCATTGCTTCTGTGCGACGTAATGGTGATATATAATCTTCGAAGAAAGATTTTCAATAATCTTTAGGTATGATTGAGTAATTGTACCCATACAATGTTTCAATTATCTAACAATATGCGTTAACTTGTCTCAATAAGTATTACATGATAATTTAAAATATCGAATTTTCGAATAACTTTATTAAAATTATTATGCGTCATATGAAGAAATATCACGTATTATAAAAGAAGGAACAAATTTAAACATAGGTCGGCATTCACAAAGAAACTAACAGTATGCAACATTCAAGCCACTTTAATAATATCCATGAAATTCTTTATTACAAAATTATTAAACTTGTCTTTAATTTATACAAGTCCTATAATCATTTTATTATCAGCAGAATACATATATTGTACTTACATTTAATTCGACATCGTACTAATCGGCACTACAATTTAAAGTACGGATGTGGTGTAACGCTCTTTATCAATCGAGTAAAGAAATTGCTTCGAATTTATAAATCGATAATAACGACAAAAAGCGATATTTACTTTAAAGTTATTAATTCCCAGACATGGAGCACTGAAATTATTCTGGAGAAATATGTCGTGCGTTTGTCATGAAAGTCTCAATGGGTCAGCATCCTACATTGATTTAGGTGCACTGTTGTTATAAATATATTCAGCGTATCAGGAATTCTAGAGAATGTCCCCACTTCTCCAGTTACGTCAATTTACTCGTTTCCAGTCTTACAAGACAGTGCATTGATAACTATTATAAATCCAAACAAGAATTTCGTTAGCGGGATATTAACGTGAGTGGCTCCTCATTAAGAGATTAAATTTGGAAAAGAGATTTGTCTGGGAAAAAGTAATACATAACTACTCATAATAACAGTAAAACATAAACTTTTTCTCTCTGTATATCCCTTGCACCATAGATTTAGCATACTGTCGTTTGTATAGGTGTGTACACATAAGATTGACAGTTGACCTTAGGTAACTGAACTTAACTTCGAATCGTTTGTTCTGGTGGCTCTTTAATATTCAAAATATCTCCAATAATTTTTCTTTGATGGAACGTCTTAAAGTTATCGTATTGTAAAGCTCTTCCAACCACGGCTTTACAAGGTTGTTAGCCAATGTGGATGCATAGCCACTTCATGTGAGGGCTTTTACCGCTGTCTTGCATTATTTGACACACAAATAATATATGCATTATTAACATATTGACAAAAACTTTTGTACGTTATCACTAAACATTTTATTGTTAAATTTCAGAAAGTAACAAATGTATGTATGTATGCACATACATCCGCGTTTATCACTTTTGGGTGACTCATTTAACTAGTTATATAGGTACTGTGAATGGCTTGGTGGAAGCGACATCTCCAATTCGCAAAGGTGACGGGGCTCCGTAGACTATTGAACGAATGTTTAATTATCTAAAGTTAATTCAAAAAATTCCCTAGCACAAAGAATTTTCATAGGATTGTACTGATTTCGCGTCTATTCCTTATATATAATAAAAAGATTATGCACTACGTGTCAATAATTTTCATATAGATTAATATATGATAAATATTTTGAAGGAAGGATGCTGATAAAATATGATATCTAAACAGAATATATCCTATTTCATATATCTAACGGATTTATATTAATTAATCTAAGGAAAGAATTTGTACGATACGTATACCATTTATTTATATGAATTTTCTAAGAAAATTGGCGCACGTATATGTATAGAGAATTTTTTCATAATCCGATGATAATGCAAGAAAAATATCTCCTACATTAGTATATAAAAATTGTCGCTTATTATCAATTATTAACTATAATGCTAATAAATACTTTCGTAAATACATTTTAGCAATTCGGAAAAACAATATATGTGTTATGCATGTGTGTGGAGGAGGAATGACGAGCTATCATCATAAGAAATACATCTTCCATGTAAAAAAAAGGATAGCTTGAAACTTATTACTTTAATTCAATTCACATAAAATGTTATTTTATGATTAATGAAGTTATTTACACTGTGTAGAAGAAATAAGATGGATTTTATACTAAACATATGTACATTAATTATTCAACAATAGTGAGGTTGTTAATCACTAGAATAAGAAGAGTTGAAATTCAATAGTTTCATTAAATAACCATTTTTTAGGTTGTTTCGTAAACATAACACCTATAACTTTAGCCATTTCAATCTATATACAACTTGATATAACTCATACCATTTTCAATCTATATACAATTTGAACACATTTCACATGAACGTTTCTAGATCACTATAAATTTGTTAGCTATATAACAATAAAGTAGTATAACTGAAAATGGCATAAAACAGACTTATTAGTAAAATTTAAACGTACTATCGAGTGTCACTTCATAGCTTTGTTCAAAGCTTCTACCAAAGTCTGATTTTTAAATTCGTCAGACATGGCCATGACAGTTTGACCAGCATAATTAGCAATATTTGGAATTGCTCCTCGATTTATAAGTAGTATAGCCAAGTCATCATGCCGATTTTCAACTGCATGAAATAAAGCTGTTCGTCCTGATCTACCATCGCAAAGATTTACATCTGCACCAGCATTTAGTAACGACTCTATTCCTTTCGTGAATCCCACTTGCGAGCAGTAATGTAATGCGGCAAAACCTATTCAAATTGAACTCACTTTTTTACCACATCAAGTTGTGCTACTTTCATATGAACGCAATTTCAGACAACACATAATGTCCAAAAGTCGTGTTTAAGGTGTCTAATGGCACAGAAGTTGTCTTTAAGACATTTTGGAAGATGATTTTTGGACATATGTGTTGTCTGGGATGTTTTGAGAAGCAAAGCTCAAAACTAAGGTTCATAGGTTTTTATTTACAATATACATTAATTACCTTGTGAATCCAAATTGTTGAGTAGCTGCGGAGTTTTAACAAAAGCAATAAGGTCTGATAGAATTGGTAATGATAATTTGCTAGCAATTGTGATTGCTGAGTCATGTAAGGGAATTGAAGAAACAGGTTTTGCTCCAGTCCTCAAAAAAAGTTTCACTATGCTTGCGTCGATATCATGTAGTACTGCTAATTCTAAGCTTGTCTGCCAATAAAAGTGAAAGAATATTACTTTAGAAACCTGATTGTCAAACGTTTAAAGACTAATTTGACAAATGTCATACTGAATATATATAATTATTTAATCCACGTGAAATTTTTGATAATTACCTCTCCATTTCGAGTCGGTATATCCACGTCCATCTTGCAAGCTTGAAGAACAATCAATTGTCTTTTGATTTCATTCAGTGCACCATTAAGCACCGATTTGTGAATTCCAAGCATGCCATTTTCATCCCATTCTATTGCATCCATAAAGTCTCTTTTCATCTGTTTATAGATTCTTTCAACAGAAACGGATGGTTTATCGAATAAGTCAATAATTTTAGATGAACACTTATTTAAATGTAAAAGGTTTTCCATCTCTATGTCTGGTAGAAACAGCGAATTATCTGGTGAAATTGAAACACAGTCATCATTCAGAAACTGTATAGATTTCTCAGATATACTCATGCGCCCCAAGCCTGACTTTTGAATACATTTCGTTTGTGTACTTATACGTTTAAGATCTGGAAAGTCTTCAGACGCCAATATAAATTGTTGAGGATCGATCAATCCAAAAATCTCTGTTTGCGTATCAGTATCACCATAAGTGATTGTTTTATGAGAGGGTTGTATAGGTATTTCTCTTTCAAATTTCAATCCACATTCAGCAAGAGCTTTTAATGCTTTAGCACGAAGGTCTACATCGGTAACACTGCCCAAGGCTTCTTTAAGTATATTTAAGTTGCTTGAAATGCTTCCATTGTTTTCATTCTGATCTGGAATTATCATTGTACTCTCTGGTTGATCTTTAACACTGTCTTCAAAAATATTAGTCTTCTCGACAGCATTTTTCTTTTCTGCAGCAGTATTATTTTGTAGCATTTGAACTGTGTCCAGAGGAAAATTATTTTTTTCTGGGATACAATTATCCCGTACAGTTGTATCAACAGTACTTGAATTTATTGGATTTGGAGCATTTGCACCCACATTTTTATTCTTTTCTATGTTCAAAGTGTTTTCACGTTGTACAGTTGGTGGGTCTACGAGTCTTACAGGTTGTCTCATAATACAAATTTCATTACAAGTATTTTTTGAACTGCTTGATGAAATCTGATCACAACGTTTAATTACAACATTGTTACATCCATATTGTGCTATTTTTTTCGAATTAGAAGGTAATGTTACACTTAGGGTATGTTGCACTGCTTTATTAACTGTTGTACTAGATACTTCTTCGTTAACTTTTTTATTTAATCTTGGAATTCGAACTTTATGATAATCTGGTAATTTCACAATCCGTCTATGTATCAACTTTCCATTCTTGTTTTTTTGAACAGTAATAATAGGCTTGGTATCATGTGAATCGTGTTGATAGCTTTTACTACTATTAATATCAAAACTTGTAGCTGCAATACTTTCTGTATAATTTCTTTTGTTCTGCTGGGAGCACTTTCGATTTATTACATTCTGTGTTGGTGATACTACACCTGTGCTCGGTGCTACAGTTTTAAGTTGTGCAAATCCCAAATTTGAATTAGGTTTTATTGCAGTTGTATTACCATTGGCTTGAAGTATTATGACTTTATGGGTTGCAGGCAATTGGAAAACATTTACATTATTTGGCTGAATTTGTAACTGTGGAATCTCAGAATGTGTCTGAGATGGTATTACAAGTACTTTATTTTTATCTTGTTGTGCTTGATTAATTTTTTCTTTTTCCTTTGTGCTTCGTAAGATTCCTACTCTTGTTTTTCTTTTACCTTCCTGATGTTCCACAATGTTATGTAAAGTAAAGTTTTTTGGTGATATGCGCAATTGATTTAAACCAGTATTAGTATTTTTATCCGCAATGGACATATTAATACTATTTCCTAACGGAGTAGTCATTTGTAAATCACCCTTTCTTGTTGTATTTGTATCTGTAGCTTTTAAAAGTGATAATGCAGATGGGTTATCTATTCTTGTAAGAGTACCATGGTTGGGTAATGTAATAGTTTTCCCTTGAGTCAAGTCAGGTCTTTGAGATAGTACTTGAACTTTAAATTCTCCTAAATCTTTACCATCTGGTAATTTTAGTTTTAACTTTTGAAACATAGCAGGAGAGATAGTCTTCACAACTGGTGTGACTCCCATATCAGTAATAATTGGCATTAATGGAACCATGTTTAATGAATTTTTACTCTGTACCACAAGATTTTCCAAAGATTTACTTTGAACTACTGATACCTTACTTGGAAACTGTTGCGTCAATTTAAATGGTCTTATGCATTCTACTACTTGCGTAGAAGGACTAACATTGACTGCAGTTATAGGCTTTTTTGACACAACTGGATGCATAGAATCCATCGATGAGCTGAAGTTGCTTTATATGAAGAATAATGTCCCACAACTTCAAATGAATTATGATAAATACTAAACACAAATTTTCATTATCCTTTTTAAAGAAGAAGTATATATTCCCGTTACAGAAAACATAATCACAGAGAAAAATAATTGGCACTGATTAATGAGTAAATTATAGTTTTGAATTTACAAAATATACAACCACCACGATTGGTCTGAAATATTATGGATCATGTTGTTTAAGATTTTTCAAATATTAAAACAGTATTTATGGCGTCAGTGAATGGACAGAACCACATGATCGTTCTGCGTATAAGATCAACAGAAATTATATCAATAAGCACAGAAGACGGGACATCCCTGAAAGTCTGTTTTTCAATGTTCAATAATGGAGCGTAAGAGATTGACACGCGCTAAAGTAGTCAGTCTGCGTCCACAATAATATCTAATATCCGATACAATAATCGAGTTATTAAAATTTTATTTTTCAAAAACTCTTACATATTTCAGGTTTTTCCCCGATGTACAATAAAACTTTTAGACGTTGGCAAATGCGCAATGTGACAACGCAAAAGCGGAAATCATAGCTGTCATCTTTGATGCAGTGGACTAAACTAGGGAACCCATGAAATTCAATGGAGAACTGGCTTGTGATGGGAATTCAAAAAATGTCTAAGTAATTTGCTAGAATATGATGGTAGAATACCAAAATGCTGATTAGATAATTTATTTATAACTTAATATATTAAGAAAATCAATATTAAAACTTGTTAAAATATTGCTAAAAGTCCGGGAGCGAAAACACTTTGTAATTGGTCGGACGTCACAACCTTTTCTAATATGGAGTTTATTTTATAGCCAAATAGCCAATGAGGAATGCCCATATTCGAGCTTCGCAAGTTGGCGACGAATGGTCGGCGTCGTAAGTCGTTATTATTTAAAGTTTACTCACTAATCCGCAAGACGGCAGTATGTACCGAACACACATAGAGTCTTTCTAGTAAGAATCCGGCCAACGGTGGGGCTTGTTAGTGATTGCTCCGCCATATTATGGGCTCTTTCCGGAATAGAATGGTGTGTGTGAATACGTATATGGGAGAGATTCGCATTGTGTAGTGTGGGTAGTGTTAAGCCCTGTACGGCTGGTTGCCTGTACTTGGCGCGAGACTCGACCGAGTCTCGCGCAATGTCATGGTGGCGTCAAACAAGCCCTTAATATGGCGTCCCTTCCGGGTGTTGGCCGGACTCTTACTAGAGGGACTCTAAACACGCACTTACATATAGGTCTTGCAACTCGATCAATTTTCAGCGGTGGGGGGTAGTCGTCTTAAAAGAAGCAGGGTGCACTTTAACTTTTAGTCACAAACGTCGCTGTGATCGAGTGACTCCTTATCTATCTCACTCTACAGTCGGCTGTGGAAAAAAGAAATAGAAACGGGTTACCTTCGAATCAGAGGTGGCCGTAGCCCAGTGGTTAGGGTAGCGAATTCACGACCGAAAGGTTCAGGGTTTCGCGCCCAACTTCCAGTGGCATTCACCAATGGGTTTTCATATGAAACTTAAGTGAGTATTTATACGAATTTCGCCCAACACTGTTCGAATTTGGTGTATAAACTTTGTAGGTCCCCTCACGCTGAGTTGAATAAGGCCCGTCTCGCAAGGTACATCGCCATCTATTGTCGAACTTCCAACCTTGATTATTAGGACCAGTTACTGGCACATGTCCCCCATCGGGGATACAGCCACATAAGGAAAGGAAGGGAAGGACCTCCAAATCACGATATCTTGTATACACGTTTGGACACTTAGGGGAAAAACCTGTGACGATAGGGTGGCTACTACCGCAAGGGGCGTTTGTGTTGAAAGAACCTATCACGTGCTAGCACTACGCGTGCGCAGTTACCTCTTTCTTGAATACGTAACCTGCATCTTTGTTCGTTGTAATGTGTAATGTACTGTGATAACAATCGAAAAAAAGCAACAATGTCCAGATAGAGTGCATCATGCCTGCTTGAATCACAATGATAGGAATTTGCATTTGAAAATTTCACAGGAGTTACAAATAATTCAGTAAAAAAAGTTATGAACAAGCAAATATTGACTGTTTTAATTTTCATGAGTTTTAGGTGAATTGGTCCATTTAACTTTAGTTTCTTCAATCATCAATTCTTTATTTGTCTAATTTATCAAAATTTCATTTAATTGGCATTGCATCGGTCTTTTGTGTTTAATAACTTTCCTTTTGAATCGGAGATAATAGGTTGCAGTGAATTTACGGATGCGCATGTATTATGTCAGCAGGCTTCTTCGACACTAGCGATTGCGGGAAAAACTGGCAAAATCGACCGCATTAGGGTTACGAGCTACAACGTGGTGAGGATAGGGAACTGCCCAGACCTGTATACAAGACCGTGTTTCGAAACAGGCGTACGGATTCCAATATATTAGGGCTCATTCAGACCGAAAGCAGCGGGAAGCGAGCAGCGGAATCTTGGCCGCGAAACTACATTTTCTGCCTTTTTATATCAAGTAACCGGAGTTCAGTGGGTTTTGACGGCCATCTTGTCACGTGAGTCAACAGGGCTTTTGAACTGCTATTTGTGCAACATGATTTTTAACATCACTTTTAAACAAATATAAGCATATTATTTACGTAAGCCATCGATATTCACAATTTTTATAGTACCACAATTAAGAAAAACGAAAAAAAAATTGGTCCAGTTCCCCATTATATCGATCCACATTTAGTAATTTAATTATCTGCGGATATACATACGTACTATATGTATATAAATTTTCAAAAATACTACTTACGCCCGTTTTCTTCGACGCGGTTCAATACATAAACTCGGTTTAACTGAGCTATTAGCCAATCAGAGGCTTAGTTTTCACCGTGCAGGGTTGAAATAGAGTTAACCAATCAAGTTAGCTTATTCCGCTCAAATCTCGTTTTTAATTGGTTAACTCTATTTCAACCCTGCACGGTGGAAACTAAGCCAGACACTTGTATTTTAAAGATAAACGGAGTTTATGCATTGAACCGCTTTGAAGAAAACGGGTTTAAACCTGTTTTTTTTTACTAAATTCAGTTTTGATTTAACGGATCGAAAAAGTAAACTGGATATTGAGATTTAAAAGACAATAGACGGTTGTCTCTGTTTATCTTCAAAATACAAGTTCCCTATTGACTAATAGTACAGTCAAACCGAATTTATCCATTGTGAACCACGTCGAAGAAAACGGGTGTAAGAATACCTTTCAAGATTCAATAGTCGGATAATACCTGAAGTAACTTTACTAATGACACCTCATTCCCTTTGAAAAGAAAACTTCCCTCTCTTGTGAAAAAAACTATTATTAATATCTCGTGTGCAAGTTGGGAAACGATATATGTCAATATAAAGAGTTTAAAAGAACCGTGAATGCTCTCAAATACTAAAGAATAGTTTAAGGGGGTCATCCCATGTGACTGGTTCAAAAAATGTGTTTTTTTTTTTATAAATTGCATCCAAATATAGTGTGGAATATGTGGGCGAAGTGATTTTCCGATATTCGAAGCCATTCAGAAGTTACAGGTCTAAAAATGCCAAGTGCTTGGAGCCAATTGCGACAAGTTTTGTGTATTGTATACTAGAATTTGCTCCCATTTTTTCCGCTATTTCTATAAATGTAGTATGTAGAATATGCAAGAGTAACGTGACTTTTTCGAGGAAACTGAAGCACCATTTTGTGGATCAGGCATAGCAGATTGAGGGTGTCGAAATTTTATTGGTGATAATTGTATTTGAACATTTAAACGCGTTTTTCTTAAAAAGGGTATTTTTTAAATCGGTAGACACGATATCTCAAAATCTATCGAACGAATTCCTTTGAAATTTGGTAAACTTATTCAGTACTTATGTAGACACTCTGTAAACTAAGATAATTGTGATTCATCAAGCCGTTTTTTGTCATGCTGAAGAAGTTGTGAAAAAGACACCAAAATTGACGATAAGAGTTCAACAAGTTGCCAAAACTTAACTTTTCAATATTTTTTGATAATCCTAGTTCCAAGATTAATTCAAACTTCACAGATTAAAATGCCCTTATATTTTTTTGTTTCAGATAAGCAGAACGCCCGCAATCGTGGTTACGAAAAAAAACGTTTTTTGAAAATGAGTGGCTAAGTTCCCGTGTACCTGAGCAATGAGCGACGATTTCTGGCTGAAAAAATTGTAAAGTGTGCTCAAAATGTAAATAAATATGTAGTAAAAATTTCGCAGTTGTATCTTTATTTAGTTCACAAAAAAGAAATTCTACAAAAAAGCAGAAAAAAGAGCCTTCACATGGGATGACCCCCTTAATTTCTCGGTGTTTCAAATTTTTCAATGAACCTTTGAACGAATCATGAGAAGGAAGCAATTAGCCACGACCAATGAGTAAAACGCAGCATACGATTCATGTTAGTTAGTAAGCACGTCGCCCATTGGTCGCCACTTCTTGCTGCCTTCGGACGAATGATCATGGCTTTAACACAACACGCAAATCTATTTCAATAAGCGCGATATACATATGGTTAACTGGAAGGACTGAAGAGGTTTATTATTGTGCGCTTATAAATTTGTTTAATTAATCCCTACTCAAATACTAAATGTTATTATTAATTAGGTTAGTTTGCGCCGGCGAGCATTGAATTACTTTTTAGTAAAAATGACTAAAAATATACGTTCAAGAAGGACATGTTTGTTAAATTGAACGCAGTCAATAATCTGAAACATAATTTTTCAAGATTGTCATATAATAACATCTTTCAAGTTATTATTCGAAGCGCTCTTGCAGTTAAGCAAAGTTGTCGATCTTGCAAGTCGTGCAAATTGACTAACGTCCGTTTTCTTCGACACGGTTCAATGCATAAACTCGGTTGGCATCGCATCGATTTTTTGTGGTCAATAAATTTCGTTTTGAATCGGAGAACTAATTCAAACCATTCCAATTTTTGAAAAACCGATAGGTACACTCATTGAACTTCGATATAAATTCTTATCGTGATTTTTATTGAAAGGAAACAGAAAGGTGTATATCATTCATTGATTCTTTAATTTTTGTAATGCGTAACATCTCGGGAATGTTATCAGGGAAAAATGCTTACTGGTATAAAATATGATGTATTACTTCACAGATAAGTTTTCATTGAACTTTCATATCAAGGGTAAAAGACGTTTCAAGTAAGAGAAGTTGTATTTCTAATCAAAATTAGTTAAAATATATATACAACGACGAATATAAAATAATAATTTATGTAATATACATAATATTTGATTTAATTTCTTGGACGTTCGAGTCCATTAAACATACAACAGACAACAGTGTAGCAGTAGAATATTGTTATTACAGTAACGTCAAATATATATATATATGTATATATTTCCTTAATTGTAGATCAATTTGCCCTTGCAATTGCCAAGAGTCGTTTACCTTAACTTTTTAATTAATTACATGAAAAATAACATTCACGGTATACATTCATATTAATTTCAATTATGCTTGGTGAACAATACATAAAATACATTGAGATAGTTACGGTTTCAGGCCATTATGGCTCGTGACGGGAATGTGAACGTGATTACTTTGTTTATAAAAATAACTTTTTAATATATCTTTGAGATCTGCAAGATAATAGAAAGCCATGCTGTTTTTTTTTATATAATCGAAAATGCAAAACTGATCCGGACGCGTTGGGATGCACTGCGTTCGCATATCTAAATGCAAAAAAACGAGATCGTATGTCGTGCTTAATTTTTCCTTTTTATTCCTAACAAATGTCTTAAGGATGCGCGTGTGTCGCAGGTACCATTATCTTCCAGACTTCGAAAGCCGAAGTTAATTAAATGAAAATTGAGAATCATTGATCAACCATATTGCCAATACCCTTTTTTTATTTTCGCAATTGGTATAAGTTGCCAAATTATCCCCCAACCCTACCCCGTTTTTAAGAGCCAAAAGCTTTAGGAATGCCCTGCTGTGTGTTAAAATGCACTCTCCCCCAGATTTTCTTTCTTAAATAAAACTAGCGTCATACGTAGCCTCGGTATACGTACGATCATGCACGCTATTATATATTTAGTAGATTTAGAAGCCTCGAGAAGAAAATAAAATAAATACCTTTATAAAAAAGGTAAAGTCAATATTGTTTCTCGATAAATTCCAAGTTTCATCTTCGATTTTAAAATAATTGTATTATCTTTGCCCAAGAGCATTAACACGAACTCCAGTAGGTGATGGTTACTATTCCAACTAAATTCACAAGCTTTGTACCTCAGGATCCGAAGAAGTCGAAGAAGAACGTTATCAATTGTTACTATAGCGTTTGCGTCCGGCCCTATTTTCTTCGTCCGGTTGATGAAGTTCGTTCTGTGTGAAAAAGTCTACAGCCATGGTGCCGTACGGTTTACGAAGAAGGATCAACAACACAGCCTCGATAATTGAAGTGTTCAGGGAAGAAGTATTAAAATATAGTTCTTCAACTCCTCGTGTGATATTTATGCAAGTATAAAACTGTAGCCTAAAGATTACAGGGCCGAATAACAACCGAGAGTTAAAATTACACAATCGAATACGCGTATGTGCTTTTACGATTACGGACCTCAGCACTTTGGAAATGAGAAAGGCGCTTTTGTCTGCTTCCTTTTTTTAAAACTATTTTCTCCTTCCTACCTCGCACGTTGAATCCCACGTATGTTAACTAGGAAAGTTACAATTGTTATTCGTCAAATACTTTCGATATTCAATAAGTACCGCGGTGACACGACGAATCATCTTATTATTAATTCATTGTCATAGATTATCTACGATAGTGTAACTCTGCTTACGTGGCTAGTTCACGATACAGTATTTATATTAAAGATGAAACCAAAAAAATTTGACCATCATGTTAGTACAATAAGAAAATCTAAACGGAACGTGGTTTTCGTTATGGAAAAAATTTGAAGCCTATCTCATTGCGCCCGAATATAGTGTGCGATCACTTATCGTATGAAGTTAAAGATAGTATTACCCTTTAAAAAAAATAATCAGAATAATACGCGAAGTGTAACGGTGCGTTTAATTCAGGCGAAGAAATTGAAAAAAAAAAAAAAAACATATCGAGTAACCTCGTTAAAATATTACTGGCAGACTCTTCGACTAATGAGCTAATGTGACGTACGACATTTTGTAAATCTGCGTACGTATCCTTAATCCAAATTGTAAATATAATTTTAATCTTTTCTTCCAGACCCTTCAATTGGGACCTTGCAGCTACATGTCGCGGAGAATGGGTGAGGAGGGACCTAGAATTTATATTGGGTCCCTCCAGGCCCGTCTCATTCAGCTGGCGTGCTAGCTGCCCATCTATCGAACTCTATACCCGAATCAGGACTAAGACCCAGATCGAGGGGACTTAGAAAACTGGGCACTGGGCAGTTACAGGGTCCTCCGGGTCTACAGGCACCGATGCATCTTTGATCGTTCATCTTCTCCCTGTCACCTCCGTCTCGCAGTTCGCTCTCGAAGGTATGAAGTTGTTGCATAAAGTGGAAGTTTGGCGATACGTTGGACTTCCGACTGCGCACCAAATTGAAGGCGTCGTTCATACTGAGACTGCATTTGTGCATTAAGTAGGCGACGGTAATGGTGACTGAACGAGATACACCAGCTAAACAATGAACCAGGACGCCTTTATCCGAGCTTCTTGCCTCCTCTGCAAAATAAATAATGTTAAGATAAACTCTGGGTTCAACTGCCACATGAGTTACTATATTATATAAAAAGCTTTGCGTAGCGTATCCAGTGCCGTAGATAAAGAATAGAAAAGATCATAACCGCAGCGCAGGATAGCGCTTTCTTTATTTAAATATGACAAACGTAAGATACTATGCTACAATGGAAAGTGCATACTATAGTATAATAAAAGAGACTCGCATAAGGAACGTACGTATAGAGCGCGACTTAACCGGACGTCCGTTGTTTAATTGTCTAGCGCGGCTTGACTGCCACGTGGGAAAGTTTCTATTTATAAGAATCCCCTTTTTAGACATGGCGCGGGCTTTCTTAAACAGGAAATCCTGTTTAAGAAACAGTTAAGTCCGAGAAGTCAGATTTAAAAGCACCTCTCGTCCAGCAATATTTGAGGTTTACGTTACCGAGAAAATCATTTGTCGCCCAATCCAAACGATCACGTCACATGCGCCCTAGAGTTATGGCTGCGCAAATTCAATTTGAATGATAAAAATGGCGTTATACAAGCCTCCCTAATTTTATCATCGCATTTTCTAAGTTTTTAATGTCTCGCCTGCCCTTTTCTACCGCCTCGCTATTACAGCGTATACCTATAGCAGTGTGTTGTGCGTGGTTAGACCTTACAAATAAGGCAGTGAGTAAGTACATTGACCTCCTGACAAACTGAGAAGTCGCGGCAACGCAGTCACGAGCATTCATTGAAAGTACTATCAAATAAAAGTCACGGAAACTTTCCATGCGTTAACTAGTGAGAATATTTTTTTTTGTCGGATTGTAATACCACCCATACCATCTTTACTGAATTAATATGTATCTGGTAAGGAAAACGTTACGACTGAAGCTCCTTCTAAGTTCCTGATCTGCTTCCATTATTATAGTATGATTTTTTGAAAGACAATGCATCTTTTTAATTAACTGAGAATATAAATTTGCCAAAGAAACTCTGAGGCCTCATTACTCGTATAAATTATGTAAGTCCGATGATTATATTCTCACGGAATTTCACCAGTCATCTAAATTTAAATACAAATACAGTTTATTCAAGACTTTTCAATCGTTGAGGTTTATTTTCCAAGAAGCACTGCTCGATTTAACTGTTTCCCAGTAAAGTATTATACCTTTTAGTTTTGTGCAAATATAATATGCATGCATGCAGAATACGTGCAATCGTTAATCATACTTTCAAAGCTGCTAGAATTTGCATCTTTGACCAATGTGTTAGTAAAACGAACAATCAGAGTTTTCTATTGCGTGCAGGAACTGCATTTACCTATGAATTGGATTGCTTGAGGGAAGAAGCTTGCCAAATTCTGACCGCCATGATCGCTGATCGGTATTTGCATGTACTTTATTGATCCAGCGTTTTCGAACACGTTCGGCAAATCTGGTGTAACATTCAGAATGTACTGTATCCTATGGCGTGCGAGTGCTTCGCTATCCTCGCTGTTCGCTGCATTTCCCAAATACAGATGCGGAAGTATTTCCACTGGGAAGTCCTTGTCCTCTTCAGGACCTAAGACAATAACGTGGAGTAATTTAGTAAGTTGCTGCTTTTAAAATTTTTCGTCTTTCTTTGAATTTGTGGAATAAATGTCTATTGCTTACCTACGGAATCGCATGTGCTATCGCTATCTGAATCGGAATAAGCTCGAGTGGGCGGTGTAGAAATACGAAGAGACCTAAGACCCATTAGTTCACCTTCGTTTGGGTCTTGTCCAGGTGGGCCTTCTGGATTGGCCTGGCTACCTTCGCACCATTCTGGATATCTATCTCTGAATTCTGCAAAACCACCTGTAATAACAGAAAGCAGGTAGCAGGTCAGCTTGTTGTGTAATGCGGGCGTTGTACATTGGCCCTGAGGAAGTCGATAACGTGAGTTAAATATGCGAAATATAATTGAAATATCATCATAGGCGATTCCACGTATTATTTACAAGTTTAAAGTTCAAGCGTTTCTTGTTCACTGTTCTTTCTTAATGAAAGTACCAGATGGAATTACTTTCTTTTTCTATATTTTTCTCTTCTTTTTGTTCGATTTGGAAATTCAAATATTTGAAGCATAAGTAAGTGTGGGATGGGGGGCATAAGAAGTGGGTATCTCCTTTAAACAATATTTGAGAATTCTTGAATAAATATGTAATGAACATACAATGCAAACATTCCTTGATGATATTATGCATTTTTGGACAGTAGATTGTATCAATAAGAAAATGCAGGTATTTATAAATTATGCAAAAAATTCCTATCATTACATCAATTGAAGTACAATGAAAACAATAAAATCTATAGTAAAGATGGATATACAAAAGGACTCATGTACAATTTCTTAAAGAGCCTACAGTAATAATCGGGGAACGCCAACGTTTTGAATTAATAATATAACTCAGAACTAATCAAGCATCACAAACTGAACAACTTAGTGAATGGACAATTATAGATACAGATAAGCTAAGCCTAGTATGTCTGGGGCAAGAAATTAAGTGCCTAGCTGTATAGGAATACCTCCCACACAAATCAATATTTCATTCACAAGTTCCCAGCATTTCAGCTGATGTCTGCAGTCCTACACTATGGTGGCATTTACCAGGCATTTGATATATTGCTGCAGCCAGGACTGAGTAGCAAGAACTATCACTTAATGGTTTAGAAGAGTTACATGATACATTAACATTTGTTAAGATCAATAACGAAGATATGATTAAAATAATTATATTTATTTACGTATTGACCTATATGCATTGACAGGGTCAATTAAGGTCTACACGTGCATCGAAACCTCTAGAATACTCTATACCTATTAACCTTAAGGAGCTCTTTCGATTGCTCTTCACAATAACCAAAACTGTATAAAACAACTTTAATAAGACATTTTCATAGCACAAAGATTTGGACTTTGCTTTCTTACCAATTAACGTAGCTACTTTGCCTCCACTGCTTCTAAGACGTCGACCCAAAACCTGAATTGTCTCCCCCTGATGTCCAGCAGGCTCTGTAGAGTCTCCAATAAGAACAAACATTCCTCTGCTGCCTTCGTCTCCACACAAAAATACTTCTACTCTAGTTCGCAGATCCAAACATCTTATTGTTGCCAAGAGATCAACCTTGCCAGCTGCCAAACGTCTGAGCATGATGCTTGGAATGGCCAAAGGTACTGAACCTCGTATGTGGGCTTCAGAGAATTCAGAATGAGCCCTACAGTCCAAAATGAGGAGCTTACTGGGACCACTTGGTGACCTCAGTTCTGCGAAAAGCCCCTCAGATCCTATTAGACCCTCTTCCATCAAACTTCCACCTGCCATGCTAACAATATTCTAACACGTTTCAACGTGTTTATCCTTCTTGAAATGTTCCTCTCAGCAAGGTACTTATTTGCTTTTCTAAAGCAATCTCTAAATGCAGGGATTGTCTTGTGTCTCTTCAATGTAATCTGTTTCCTTTTTGGATATTATTCCATATTTGCTTCTTAAATCACTTAATCGTTTGCACTTTTTTTTAACGATAATTCGTATTTTACTATGGCACTTGTAAAAAATAACGTTTAATGGAATCATGAAAGGTTTAATGGAAATCGTGCTTCTGTTGAATCTTTGTTTTAATGTACGGTCCCTTCTTATTAAAAAAAAAAGTTTTGATGAATTAGTGTGAACGCTTTAAGACATGCCTTCTTATGTCTTCTTTAACAAGCATTTACTAATATGGGATAGTACGAATGCATATGTACATAATATGTGTATATATTAAAATTTACTGGATATGACGAAATGGCACTTTCAATTATGTAGCGATAACGCGTGTTGCTATTTTATATCAACATATCTCAGAACATCACGTCGTTGATCTATCGTGATTATTTCCAGGCGTGGATGACACAAGGCGGCAATTCGCGCGCGTTGCCATCACTCTCAATAGATTATGTCTGCTCCGAGTTATTGATTATTCTTTTTTTAATTAGGTTGCGTCGTCCAATGAACAAATCAGGTTTTGGAATGTTTACAGTCGTACAAGAAATGCATGTTGGCGTATTTTGATTAACGTGATGCGATTTCAGTTCTTGAAGCTTTGCCGGAGCGTGCTCGAGTACAGAATCCCGGGTGCATCTTCCAGAATGGTTGACGATACTGTTCCCACTAGTCAACAACAAGACACTGATAATATACTGATGATATCCTAGTTCGTTGATAGAATAAACTTATCGTCGAGCACGTCAAGATGAATCGTCGGCGGTGGATGCTGCGTGCGATGGAGCCGCGGGAGTTCAGTCGCTCATAAAAAGCGAGCCATTCGTGAGGGCAAAGTGGCGCGATTTCGCGACTCTTGTCGCCTCCTTCACCTTACGAATCCCTCCAGCATCTCAAAATCACGTTTAAACACGTCTTTTTCACAGATTTCAATATTTTTTACACCACTCTCCCGCAGGCCACACCTTACCTCGAGCGTCCTTCCGTCGAGAATGGGCAAATGGCGATGAGTTTTACGAGCGGAGGAGATTCAGGCTTCAGCTCATTGGTCCTCGGTCACGTGATTCCACGCTTCGGCCAACCGCAGTGCAGACTGACGTCAGTTCATTGACAAAAGATGTTTTCATTAACAAGCGTGGGTAGATGGGTCGGGGATCGAGGAATCGGCCAGTTGGGGAGTAAGAGAGATCCATCGACATATAGTAGCTGGACTGCTCACTGTAGCCACAGAAAGTGTAATAGGGAATAGAAAGAGATCGTGAATCGTGAATACCGTTCTGCCCTTTTCTATCATTTTTCTATTGGTTGAAAATTTTCTGGTTGGAAGGAGTTCATGACTGTAATATACAAAATAAGAACCATGCGAAAGATTAATCTACGACATCCAGAGTATACGTTACAGTCAAACTACAATTCTGGTGATCAGTTTATCATAATTGAGTATTATTTAAAAAATTATGATTCGTTGTATTAAGTGTGGGCCACCGCGAGACCTATATTTTGAGCCCAATATGATAAGCTTTCACAACTAAGTAAAATAAAAAAATAAATTTTACGGTTAGCATAAGATTAAATCAATTTTTAAACTTATAAAACATATGCATAAAGTTCATCATGATACATTTTACTCCGCGGGGTTCCCTTATTCCTAACTCCGTTCCTGCCCAAGAGAACGTCAGAACGGTATTCACGATTCGCTCTCTCTTTCCATTCCCTATTACACTTTCTGCGGCTATAGTGAACAGTCCAGGTTCTATATGTCGATGGTGAGATCAGATTCGCCCGGGAGGGGAAAACAGCGACAGAAACCGACAGATGCTGAAATAAAGCAATAGAATGAGATACCGGATAACAGTATCTCTCCCTCAGTGGGTGTGCTCACTCTCTAGTGCGTGCGTGGGTGCATATTATTACGATACGAGTCCGTCTTTGACTTCTTGGTTAGGGTCTCCGGGGTCTCCCAACTAACAACCCACCATAGAATACCACGGGCCATTCTCCCTCTCTGCTACTCATCCATACACATGACCAGCAGACCCCTTCGATACTCTACGGGAATCTACCAGTGCACATATTTCCATCATGCAGGGTTGAAATAGAGTTAACCAATCAAGTTAGTTTATTCCGCTCAAATCTCATTTTTAATTGGTCAACTCTGTTTCAACCCTATACGGTGGAAACATATGCAGTGTCTATCCAGTACCAGTATGCAGCGTGGGTTGGCATTCCATTCATTTGTTTCATTGAAAAATTTCACGTTTAATCACCCGTACGTTCACGGCTTTTATCGCACGAGATCGTCGTCATCATCAGGATCGATCGAGACGTACACGTCTTTCAAAAGAGAAAAGCGCTCTACTCGACGCCCAGTCGTAACCATTCGTACCTTTTTCTATCTATAACATACTCTATATATACATATATACCAATGCCATTCGTTTCTGCCTCGCAGCGGACATCCTGGTCACGAGTCTCTCGCTGCGATGAAAATTTTCAGAAAAACGTTCCCTTTTCCCTTCTTTCTCTTTCAGACACCCTCTTCCGGTTACTCTTTCACTCTCTCACGTAAGTTTTCTTGTTTATCTACATACGTACTATTACTTGTATTCTCTCTCTTACTTTTTTCTTTAATTTATGATCGACCACCACATTTGCATCGTATTATCTTTAAAGCTTCTCGCACTACGTGACACGATAAATTATCGATTGCTCGTATATATCTGGAGGTTAATTAATCCGATTACGTCGGCCATTTTCAAAAACAAATTGTTACCGTTACTCGATATCGCTTGCCTACGTCACGATTACACGCCGTAAAACGCCCCCCCTCTCGATCAATTTCATTCAATGGGAATACATTATCAGTGCCCCTCGATTTGCTATATGTGGTTGAGTGTCGAGTCTTAAATCTTTTTTTTTTGAGATTTTCCTGGCTACTCCCCACAACATCGATCGTTCGTCGGTATCAACTTTGATCAAATTTCTCAAGACTAGAAACGATTTATGACTGACCATATCGTATCCAGAATGTACCTGGTATTGATACGTCTCATTGTACAACGTCACGTTCGTCGTAGCTATATATATTCTTACGCTATGGTATCGCATGCCTTTAAAAGTACACGCAGATGACGTAATTAATAGTCACTGTTGACCTTACAGAGTACACTAGCTTAATAGGTACCTACCATTACATATTTCACTACGTCGGAAATCCGCTCGTTTCATACGTTGAAAAATATAGCTCATGATTTACGTGACATGCGAAAATTCACAAAGAATCTTTTGTCCGGGTATTAGAGGCTGGTACTGCGAGGTGATATCATAAAGCCGGGCAAAGGTCGCCATGGAAAGCGTCATTAATGAACCTACCTATCTACTATGCGTACTATATGTATACTATCTCTACTACTTACTCCCTATATCTCTACTGAGACTCTCACTTTCACGTGTTCCTTCTCGAGCAAACCAGCCTTAACGAACTTTTATGTCGCTCCGTTTCTGATCCAGTTAATTAGCAATTAAAATGTACGCCCGTTTGTTCTTTGTTTTTCATTTATTTTTTTTTTACTATCGACCAGTCTTTCTCTTTTATAGTTGCTATTTGTCTTTTGGACGCTGTCAAGCTGTGCTATTGCATTTTTTTATTTGTCACTATATTATATACTAATATCATATACTGTACTTCTTCACAGAGTCGTGTGTGAATTTTGGACGGTGCACGTGGGAGACTGGAAGAAACCGATTATCCGGCAAGCCTTGCCAGATGTATTCTTCGTTCGCGTTACGTATGTGTACCGGAAGCAATACCCAGGATGACGGTATAGACCGGAGGACGTATGTGGATGTATAGAGTACACCAGCATACGTGTGATTACCACGAAAGGCGGCTCCAGGTTGACAGGAAATGGTTCGAGATAAGATAATGATGTCCCTCGCCTCTCTTGCATCCGGCATCTTTCTTTGTGCCTTTGGACTATTATAAAGGCTCCTTTGTACATCACTTAAAACAGGTATACTGTAGTAACGCGTCAAAGCATTAATACTCTAATCAGTATCCGTTACCCCTTTTTCTATTTTTCTTTAATTTCGCTTTTTATTATTTTTTTTTTATATCTTCAACTGATCACAAGCAGATCCTGCTTGTTGATAACACAGACAACTCCTCGTACGAATTATATTAGGCTGCAGTAAGAAGTTTGTCTATTGCAAAAGAAAATAAATTCAAGAAAAATCATTCAAATTGTATGTACCTTGTGACGTTGGGTACGTAAACGGAGCAATCAATCAATATGATTTATCTTTTGTAAGATATTTACAAACGAATAGCTTTCCGTATTGCTTCCAATGAAAATTGTCAAATAACGTCAGTTCCTTGTTTTTTTTTTTTTTTTTTTTTTTTTTTTTATCATTGTGTAACAGTGACTAGTATTTTATCATGAACTTTGTATCAGGCACTTGAGTGTCGCATAATAATAATATTGTTACGTTTCAGAAGAAAACCAGGTAAACATAAAAAATGCATCTGATGTTCAAAATACTGTCTGGATCCAAGAATACGTGATTCTACCAAACGTCGTATACTCTGTGGATATTTAAAATCAACAAAGGCACATGTAACTCTGATGTTACATAAATACCTTTGACCTTTTTCGTGTATCTAATATACAGCGATAACAGTAGGGCCAACATCGATCTTCCTCCAAAAAAAGTTGCGCAGTAAAAATAATACGCCCGTTGCCTGTAGGCACGGTTACCTCAGAGAATCAATGATCGAAGAACAATACCGTCACGTTGCATCGTGAATCGCATCGCAATGTTGCGAGGCATACGAGTCCATTGAATTTCTATTACTTTGTAAGCGTAACCATACATCGTACGAGGTTCACGTGCGGGAGTGAACGTCGCATGTACCTTCCGAGAGAAAGAAAAAGGGGAATACCAAATAAATATAATGCAGAGTTCTCCATGACATTTTTTCTCCAATCGTACTGCAAATTGATTGTGATTTGAAACATCCAGCTTAACGTTATATCAGCTCGTGAGAAAGTTATATTGGAGTAGTATAAGAAAAAAAAAAAGCAGAGAGAAAAATAAAGGACTAGATTGGCATAAAAACGATTAAGAATTTCTGGACTTCGACTGAACTCATTCTACCTTGCAAAATTTAGCGTAAGAGCTACTACGTGTGTTAGGTCGTTTGAATTTTTTCGCTTCTCCATACTTGTATATTTGCCATTACCCTCTCTCAGTCCGGCACGTTGCGAATGGCCGTAGGAATCTGAATATGGGCGCTGGACTCTCTCAATGACTCTTAAAACTGGTGCGCCCACATTCTTTGAGACACGTTCTGGACTCCCGATGTAATACTCTATTGGTAGTGCTATCTAGCTGTATTCTACCTACAGAAATCTCCCACCTCAGTTTTCTCCTCCGAGCAACTCCCCACTCGTAAGGCACACGGCAGCTATGTATACGAGCGTGTAGTATGTATACTAGTATGTATTTACTAGTATATAGCATGGCATATGGTAGTAGGTAGGCAAGCGCTATTAAAGTAAAGTAATCAATGAATGAGTGAAGGAACCAAGAGAGGGATCCGCGTGCGCGCGCGCCGTATTCTCTCTCTCTCTGTTTTTTCTCTTTCTATCAGACATATACACACTCACTCTTTCCTTCTCTCCTTCTACGAGTATTCCCATCTCACTGCTGCCCACGCAACTCCACGACCTTATCGTATATCGTTTTTACTCGTATATACCTTGCAGAGGCCTTGCCAGGAATTATTTTGAATCGCTGCTAATGGAAAAGGAGGACATGGATGTGTTTGTAATATATACACTTTTATAGGTTATAATCCTTACGTCAGATGGACGCTGTTATCGTATTATTTTTTTTTCACTTTGATAAATTTAACTGCTGGATATTATAAGGATATATACAGTACCGGTCGTTTCTACCTGCCGTTGGCATTTAATCGCCTGAGATTTCTTGGAAGTGTTTCTCGAGGCTTTTGTCCATTTGTTTTTCACGGCGATGGTTTACTTCGTTCGGAGAATACGTGGGCGACTCTGCTGATCATTTTTAAAGCTGGACTCCGATCTAATGGGAGAAAATTGGGCCAGCCTGAATGGATCGCGTGTTTACAATACCTCCTTCGGTCTATATCTATAATCAGGATACGTATGTGGATTTTTGCGTGGGCTGATGAATTTCGCGTGCTAACATTCACGCACATACTTATAGGTTATATGTACTTATTTTTCGTGTCGCTTTGATATCGCTTTCGGTCGAGGCCTTAACGTGGGAGGCTATTGAACTGGGTGTACATATGGCTTGAGAAATGGTCAATAATGATCTGGTACGATAAAAGAACGTACTGCCCGTGTATATGACGTTCTTTACGGGTATACAGTAATATGATGAATATTTACGTTTGAACAAGTTGGATATTTGCACAGGTGTACAGTTCCGATAACAGCCTAATCTGTAATTGGAGATAACTTGTTATAACGCGGAAAAGTTTCTAAGCTTGTACTGATTGATCGTTACTTCTAATGGCTACGTCCGCTTCCATCGGCTCTGAGATTATATTTCCCGCTGTTATTTAGCAGAGTGGTTCGCGATGTTCTCGCGTTGTATACACGATAAGGGGGTAGAAGTGTATCGTGGAAAAAAAATACGACAATCCCGGATGTTACTTGTCAAGAGCTGTCAACTTGAAAATATTGTAACGGCGGAAAAACATATCGGCTTGCTTTTCTGTTCTTTATTGCTCGCTACGTTAAAAAGAGCTGACTCATGAACGCTTGAGAAATACTTGAGAAAATATAGGTACTTATTGTTTTGCAAGGAAGACGATCGCAAATTGCTTCGCTCTTTTAAAAATTTTCTTTCGAAATTTCATGATATCATTTTTTCCAAATTTTTTTTCCAATATCCTTCGTGTAATATAATAGTGTGTAAGTATATATGTTTATGATATCATCTCGTTTACCGGATGTTACTGTATCCTTCCCGATTACTTAATTAACAGTCATTATGGAATGAGCGGAGTAAATTAACAATTAACAATACTGAGAAATGGACAGATTAGGAAATATATGGAACTCCAAGACTGATGGTGAAGTCAATTTCTACATCCTCGATGTAACTCCCGTACTGATCGGTGTAGCGCTCTGCTGGTTAATACTTGAGGTACGTTAACACCGAACCTCTTATGCTCATGAGACAAAACAGTAGCATTTCTCGGAATCTTTTATGAAAATTCATTAAATTTGCAAACTTAATTCAAATATCGTCCTGTCGAATCGTTTCTGTAATTTCTAACCTCCTGAAAATACTTATTGTAGAAAATGAAAAAAGGTTAGGAACATGTTCACAATGTCGAGTTGAAATTTACACGGGAAATTATGTTCTGGATTCAGATGGCACAGTGACATTTGTAGATGCTTAGAACTTTCGGTTTTAAGACATGCGTGCACATACAGCAGAATTTCAAAGTTTAGTGTCATATGCCTGTATTCAAAATTATAGGTGAAACCGTTCATTCGATCAGTTAGAAATTTTCTCAAAAGACTATGAAAATATGGATGGCACAGTGCATTTGTAGATGTCAAATACTTTTAGTTCGAAGATTCTGCATTCACGAAATTAATTTAATGCCATCGGATAGTTCACAAGTGGTCGTGCTTTTCTTCTTCTTCTTGGTCCTTTATGCTCTAAGAGAGCCAAGACCCAGAGTGGTCGTGCTTCGTGGCAAACCTGTTTGCTCCTATATCTAGATAAAATACTTCAAATTACAGTATAACTTAAAATATATGTTCCGTTTATCATTGACATGTATAAATGATTTGTCATTAGCTTAAGGTATAATGTTGGAACGATGTTAACCTTTTTGCACACATTTACACTCTTATGCATCTAGTTCCCTAATTACAGTCGATAATGTCATCCATATACTTAGATCCTCTGTGGATAGCTTGGAACAGTGTAAATAAATGTATTATATTTAATGAAGATTCAGAGACGAGGAAATTTCTCAGTGATCGACATGGGATGGAAAACAGTCAAAGAAAGGAACGATTCTTTTACAGAGGAAAATAAAGACGAAAAGCAGACACTGAAAAGATGCGTAAGATATTGTTTAAAAATTATGTATAACCCACTTTAAACTCTTATGAAAAAAATGTACTCTGCTATTAAATTGACATTAGGTATCTCTAGTCGAAGACACCTGTCGGGAATATAAGGCACTACTGGATATGATTTATACGAAGACATCTACAGCATCGCGCACGGTAAATTATTCGTATCAAGAGACTTTCTCTAGTATATGCTTGCTTAACATTAAGTATCCAACACGGTTATCGCAGAAATTATAGTAATAGACTAGTTGTAGACCGAACAACAAGTTCCCGTAAGGATTACTGGAAGACAATTTTTTTCTACCTGTATAGACATTACCTTCCACCACATTGAATAACGTGTTCACCTCAGGATCATCGGAAGCAATGATAAACAGTTTACGAGAGAAAAATTTCTACAAAAATATGCACTCCAGAGTTTATTCGGATGCAAAAAACGTGTCATTGGGTCCCATAAAATCTACAGCCACTATGAATAAATCCAGGAAGTCGAACGCCTCGAGCAAGCCGGATACAGCAATCGCAATCAGCGAGGAAAACGAAAAGGAAAATAACGTACGGTGCCTTTGGGAATTCTCGACGCCGAGGTTGTACCTTGGAAAAGATCTGTCAGGCCATGTTAACAGTAAAAAATCTGTAAGATTGATAGATCCTTATAAGCTGCATCGTTGCAACAGCTTAGCCAGTTTTATCCAATTGGATGCAGGTTACTCGAATTGATTATGACATATATATCAATATTTTTTAAAAATGATTAGAGTAAAATTTTTATTATCTTACGAATGCGTATCATCATCTATATCTAAGTTAGGAGTTATAATAATAGGGACGGATGTCTCGATAAGCGTGTCTCTTATTTAATAGATCGACGGGGTTACTCTCCTGTTACGTATCCATTTGTCTAATCTGCGAGTTCTCAAAGAATATTACCTTTAAAAAGTCGCGACGAGTTAGGCAAGACTTTTCAGTAAGATGGAAACGTACAGGGGATCTATGAGTATGGAAGCATGGCTTTAATAATAAAGATACTGTTTAAAATGTGACGAATGGTCGAGAGACGAGAAATTCATTTAAATGGTGGCATACCCGCACAGTATATGTTCATAATGTTTATAATATTTTTGCGAGGGCTGCGAGTCCTTTGTATTTCACGAAACTCGACCAAGGCATATGTTAACATCAATGTTCCGCTGTCAGTTCTTCGTCTGCACTTAATTATAGCTAATAAAAATGGATAAACAATTCCTCGAGCGGCATGTCACACGTGAATTTCAAAGTCCAAGATAAACAATTGGTGTGCGAGATACTAACGCTGCACAGATTCAAGAAATTACGTGGCTGATCGTAAACGATCTAAATTCGTGTTTCTCAGATGCGTTGCGCATCTTGTCCGTTGAAGCTTTAATACGATTCTGGAAAATTTCATGTAAAAATAACTTAACCTGCTTGCCATTCGGTTCAATTATGAAAACATATTTCAATGTTAACTGACACCGGTTATTCGTTTTATAAAATCTCAGAATGAGTATTCAAAAAGTGGTATATTACGTGAAAAAAAAGTGGGATCTTAAACGTATTAGAACTTTTGTACTAGACAGAAAAGAATATCTTTGTGATGTCATCACGTGCGGCTATCAATACGATTCAAGGTTTATTCGGTGCACTCCTCGGCCTTTTAGGTGTGGCATACTTGACGAATAGAAATCCTATTATAATTAGAAGTACAACGGTTGCAACACAAATACCTAACCAGAATTCTGATCGTACGTCAAGCTTGTCAAAAGCAACTTCTCGTAAAGCTAATGAACCATCAGATGGTTCGCAAGCTGCTTGCACAATTATATCCTGACGTTGAACTTGTTTCGCTTTGCAGTTCGTTAATTTGTTCATCGACTCTTGTCCATGCACTTGTGGCAACAGCAATGAGAGAGTCCATTGCATAGGACTGAATTTTTGGTACCAGAATGGCAAATTTTCTAAGTGTAAGGTTACACCACCAGCCAATGAAATCTCGCCGATCACTATACCGGCCAGTAGTGAGGCGAGACTGGGCCATTTGGATATATGAGCAAAGAATACACATATCAGATGCTGCAGCATCAAGTACAGTAACCCAACGGCAAGATAATTCCATAGAGACGTCAAGTTCTCATCAGGAGCCAGATGTAAACCTGACATGGCAAATGCTGGGGCCAGATACGTGAGATATACCACACACCAGGATGGTATAGTGCAGAGAAGCTGAAATATAATGTGTCCGCTTGAAAATTATAATAAAATAATACGTATAAAATAATTAGAAATATTTATAAATTTTGCTGTGCTCACCTCCACAAAAATATAGACGAATCTGCCATAGAGTCCATCTCTCATGTCCCTTTCTACGTTGGGTCTACAAGTAGCGATATTGCAAATAGCTATGAGATTCAACGGCCAAGACAACACAGCAAGGCTTGCGTAGTGGAAGCCTATTCTGTCTCTCAAATATAAATTTGAATCACCAGCTAAATCCCAGAACACAGCACCGAGTAAGATACTCAACGATGCTGATATCACAATCTTCTGAAGAAGTCTGGTCAAGGCCCACGGTTGACTATATATGAGTGCTCTCAATAAAAGCGCGTAGATTTGTACGAAAATATTTGCACCAGAAATTGAAGGTGGCAAAGCACCAGGAGGACCAGGATCACTCAGACCTGGCAATCGGACTCGTGCTAATTCAGCAAGATGATCTATTCTCTGCGAAGACTCCAGCATCGCCTCAGCTGATAAATCATCAAGCGTTACTAGATCAACTGAAAATGTAAAGACAAAAGTAAGATATCATCGTTATCTTCAAAATCCTACGTTATCATTTTGTACATTGATGCGTACGATAATAGTCAGATGGATTCTTAAAGGGTGGACAGGGAAATTCAGCAAGTGCGAAATAAGGCAGCATGTCTCGCCTGGGTCCTGAGTACATTATCCTGCCTCCAGAAGTGAGAGCGACTCTTGAAACCATCGTAAGAATTTCATAGGTCGGTGGATGCAAAGTCAAAATTACAAGTCGTTGGCCTCTTCCAGCCCATTGTCTTAAATACTCCACGAGGAAAAAAGCGTCGAAAATATCCAGACCATGAGTTGGTCTGTCCAGGGTAAGAATATGTGAGTCTTGTAACAGTCGACAAGCTAAGGCTAATCTTCGAGCTTCAGAAGTTGTCAAAGTGTTCACCAGACAATGTTTGGTAGCTTCCAAGCCCAATTCTTGTAAAATGGCATCCGCTTCCAATGAAGACGTTCCAGCACCTCCTCTTAACAACAGATAGAAACTTAGAGTCTGCTGAGCAGTTAATCCAGGACTCAGACTACTTTCTGCTGGTAAATAAGCCACGCGAGACCTGAAAGAAAATATCGATCAAGTACATATTTGCAAAACAAGACTCCCACGTACAATTTAAACATTGTACCTTAAAGCAGAAGCCGATACCGATCTCCCATTCAATATAATATCGCCACGCTTGGCTCTTCGTCTTCCAGAAATCGTTTCGACTATCAAGGTCCCTTCCCTCTCCGTAGTCGACATAACAGCCAAAACTTCACTAGCTCCAGCTTCCAAGGATATACCACGTAATAATGGCAATCCATCCGAACCTGAAGCTTCGACACCCCGAAGTTGCAGGTGCGGATGTTGTGGAGCAGGAACTGGTCTCATTGTCATGACGGTATAAGCTTCTGGTCCCAGAACGCCATGACCATAACCAGGATCAGTAGGTGCTATACTGTGCCTCCGGTTAGTCCTAGCAGTGTTCAGCAAATTTGCTTCACTGGCACTTCTGAACCTTGGATTATCTCGAACATTGATTTGCGAATGTGCCTGTTCTCTAGGCATGGCATGCACCTGCCTGAAGTCTGGATCACTTCTGGCAGATCGCATAATATTAGCGTGAGCTGTAGCATGGGAGATACGACGTCCTTCTTCACTAGAGTCATAACCACTGGAACCATCTCGTACCCTGGAAGGCGGTAGGACTCTCGGCAATCCAAATTTCAAATACGTATAAGAGTTATTAGCCAAGGGACTCTTAGGGCCATATCTTGGATGCCTTAATATGCTTTGTACTGTCGAGTCTCTAAGCTGAAAATTACCATAAGGTAACGGTGACTTCTCAGCAGATCCTAGAGCTGAATCAGTAAAGTCTGAATTCAAGTTTTGCCTATAACAGTAAAAATAGTCAAAAAAAGAATTGAATATAATCACAATAAAATTCAACAACTCACCTATAAATTGACCATGCATGTAAATCTTCACTAGCTGGTGGTTCAAGTCCCCGGGTATCTAGAGCACCGGGTACCGAGTACCTTCTTTCCAATTCCCAAGCTTCTGAGCCCATTTTCCTCGATCACTAAAAATTAAAATCAATATATAATATCATTCCGAGACAAACAAAAACTTATAACTTTAATATCGACAGCTTTTCTGCATTAGGAATTTATAAAATCCATCATTAACGTAAATTCTCTTTCGTTATCCTCTTGAAAACATATTTTCCACACCAGATTGTCCAATAGTATTCGATTACACGAAGAGTCCAAGAAGTCGTAGAAATACCTGTTCCTCAAATCGCTACTCAGGACGGTCAGTGCACAAAGGACAGAGGCGTCGCTTCTTGAATTCAGTGACAGCGAAACCTTCAGAACGAGTCGATTATGCATAAGAATGGAATGCGTGAAAAAAGATGCGTGTGTCGGCGCTAACAATATACATAGGATGCCATGTATATATGCAGATGGTGAATGCGCATGTTCCATTCTCTGTATACCAGGGCTTTTCATACTGTATTAGCATACGCGGACACGTAGTAACATATAATATTAACAGAAAGACCGCAGCATCCAAGTTAACGGTTTTAGGTCGACCTAAAAAAATGCGACAACGGCATCCCTCCAGTTTTCATTACTCGCTTGTTTTAATGGATTTCGCAAGATTCCCATGTATATATGTATACTGTATTACGTACCCAGGAATCATACCTGCATATAACAGTAGCTATATCTATACGTCGTAAACACGTAGCAAGAGACTCGGTCTAGCCAACCATAAACGATATAAGCACGAATAGATTGTCAATAGGCAGTTGCCATGGAATGCGTGACGGTATTATCTATACCCGCATTAAAGTAACACTTATGGGTTTACATTTTTTCCACCGAGCGATAAAAGGATGACGCTCGTAAAGTACGTTTCAGCTATTTTTATTTTCTTATACTTGAAAATATTTTTTAAGTTTTATTTTACGTGCACACAAAGAAGCGCTGCGCGTGAGAAAGACACGTTTTCAAGATACCTGACCTGTATCATGATTTTACAAAGTTCCGCATTATGGAATTCCAAGATACAGCAAATGTACGGTAGAAAGTGGTTAGATTAACAACAAAATGGTTTCAACAATTTTAACGAATAGTAACAGTTGCTTGAAAGGTGCAATTTCCACTGTTATTTTTTAATGTTAAATATGCGCTGATATTTATACTGTAAAACAGTGACAGCTGCGAGCTCGCACGCTTACTAAATGCTTATCATTTCTCTTTTATGCTTATCACTGCTCGTGCAAAGTTTTTCCTTCTTTTTTTTTTAATCGACAGTCATGATCTTGGATCGACGACACGAAACTCTCATTCCTTTCGGCAAGTCCTACCTGGCTGGACATAACGGGACATATTTCATTGTTACTTGCCAAAATGTACTGAAAGAATTGTTATGCTTGGTGTTACGAACCGTGTACCTCGGCTCTTCCTTTTTCTCTTGATTTCTTTCTTTTTTCCCTTTTTTGTCGTCTCTTCACTGTGAATGGTTCATTTAATGATCCCAATTCCTAGATCTGCTATACCAACTGTGAGATTGTCCCACGCACTCCTTTCTGAATATTTCAGCCTCATATAGATATATACAGAATGCACATATATACTCAAGTTACTCTCGTGGCCTGGATTCCCAGAATAATTGAATTTTTACACATAAATCTCTGGCGAGGGGCGTGTGCCAAAGCTTTCCCGTTCTCCACTGCAGCGTTCCAGATTTCCAAAAAGAAATATCAAAAAATGGCCAGCACTCGTCATGTTTATTGGTACGGAACGTTCAGTCTTCTTTCAGGTATTACAGGATAAATAATTTCTCCTCACAAGAATTGCCCATCTTTTAATTCCTGTTGTGTATGTATATGAATCCCTGTGGCGATTGTACCGACGAAATATCAGTAGCCTTGAGTGTAAGGTGTTATTAGTTTTCCATTTTTATTTTTTTCAATAACACACATTGGTGTAGGTATGCAGCATGAACAGCTTATTAAAATTGCAAATGACTCCAACGTCCCTGGCACAAGTGTAAAGAATTGTTTCTTGCTCGGTAGTTAGTCTCTGAAATTTCACTACATATGACTTCACTATTCGGTTAAGAAAACGGTAAGTTTACTGTCCAATACAAAACTCAATAAACCACCTGTCATAAACCTTACGGAACTCAAGATAACGTTACTCAATGATATCGGTAACTTTGCAAACCGTAAGTTCCTCTGAAGCGAGGAAAACTATATGTGTATACATATACATATATACGATGGAAACATGGGCTAATACGAATAATTGAAAAGATGAAAAAATTCAAATAGAAATCAATCGATTAATTCCAATGACTACACCGTTTAATATCCGTTACAGCGTGACTATGCCCATGTAACAAGACGATTTCTTTGCGCCTCATCAAGTCTCGCCACGACACCGTATGTAAATAACAAAAACTGTGGAATGAAGAATACTAAGATTTTTACACGCTTTCTTTTTTTTTTTTTTTTTTTTTTTTTTTTAACAAACCTAT